GCCTCTGCGCGGGGTGCGTGTACGCGTCGACCGGCTTCGTCTGCTTCCTGTGGAGCCTGGCGGGCATCAGCCCCGAGCAGCCGCCGGCCCACGCGCCGGCGCCCGGCAGCGCCGACGCGGCCACCTTCCCAGAGCCGAGCTGGCTGAGCACGCGGGTCTTGAACTGGGCGGTCGTTGGCCCGGTTGGCGCGGGCAAGTCGACGCTGATCAACGCCTTGCGGGGGCTGTACCCCCAGGACAAGGACGCCGCCCCCGTGGGGGTCGGGCACACCACCAGGCAGCCCCACCCTTACAAGTTCGTAGGCGACGTGGCAGCGCTGACGCACAACATGGCACGCCTCTGGGACCTGCCAGGGGCAGGCACCAGGGACTGGCCCATGGAGTCCTACGTGCGCGACGCGGGTCTGCGGCACTTCGACGGCGTCGTGCTCGTTACCGCGGGAGTCCTCACGGAGGCGGAGGCTTGGCTGGCCTTCCAGCTGCGCGACTTCAAGGTACCGTACTACATCGCGCGGAACAAGGTCGACATCGACGTGGTGAACAACCAGCAGGACAACAACGTCGACGTGGAGGACACGCTCTCGGAGATCAGGGGGGAGCTCGCGGAGCACGGCTGCTGCCCATCCAGGACCTTCCTCATCTCCGCCAAGCAGCCAGACCGCGTGGAGTTCGACTTCGGCCTGCTCCTGCGCAGCATGGCCGCCGACGTCGCATCGCAGCGCAGGCAGCTGCCGGAGTTCCAGCGAGGGCCTGGGCAGCGCACGCCCCGCCATGCGCTCCAGCCTTCCTTCGAAGCCCTGGTCGACACGCCGGCGCGCCCGGCCATCGCGCAGCGGCCCTGGGAGAGGCAGCGCCGGCCGATCCAGGGCTGCTCACTGGGGCTGACCGCGCTGGCCGACGGCGGCGCCGGGTGCCAGTCGCCCGGCGGGGGCGGCTGGAGCAGCAGCTCCACGCGGGCGGCGGACTCGTCGGGAAGCCCTGCGTCCTTGCGTGAGGCCCTGGCGGTGCCGCAGCCAGGCCGCGACGATCGGGGTGGCGCGCACGCGGTGCGTGGGCCGCCTCGCTGACGCGCCGACGGGGGAGGCTCTGTGAGCGCGCTGCTGCCAGGAAGCTGGATGCGCTCGATGCGGCCAGCCTGGGCGACAGCTGGATGCGCACGCGGCCTTGTGCCTGTCCAGCGCTCGGCCCTCGTGTGGACGGCGCGTCGGCCCGCCGCACGTGTGCCTGGCGCGTGGCGTTCACCTGTGCCACGTGTGAGCCCAGCCGCATCGGTTTCAGGAGGGGGATAAACTCACAGACACAATTAATCCAGCCTCCTGGCAGACTGGGGACGGCGAGCAGCAGGCACGAACGCCGCAACCATAGCGCTCGACACAGGTGGGCACGAGACCAGGGGTGGTCGTTCTCGATGCGGCCGTGAGTGAGCCAAATCACGATCGTTCTCGATCCCTCTTATCACAATCACCCTCGGCCTACTCGTATACTGTTGTTACACATTGGCCTCGTTCTCCTCATCCTCCCTCTCCATCGTTCTCTCACTTCCCCACCCCCTCCTCTTCCTCCACTCCTGCTCCTGCTCATCCTTCTCACTCATCCTCCTGCTGGTCATCATCATAATCATCGGTATCCTTACCCCTCCTCCCATCCTCCTCATCATCACGTTCCCTCCTCTCATGCCCTTCTCTCTTCCTCTCCCCCTCCTCCTCATCCTCTTCCTCCTCCTCCTCCTCCTCCTACTCCTCCTCCTCTTCCTCCTCCTCCTCCTCCTCCTCCTCCTCCTCCTCCTCCTCCTCCCCTCTACGAAGCCCTCTCCCGCCATTATCCGTCCTCCATCTATTCCGACCTCCCCCCCGTCCCTCTCCCTTCTCCTCCCCTTTTTCCTGCCTACCTTGCGCTCCTGCTCGCCCAAACCAGGAGGAGCCGCGCGCGTGAGCTGGGACTTTGCTCGGCCAAGTGCTCTCGCGGTTTGAGGGGGCACGTCGATTGGGTGGACACTGCCTTGTCCCTGTCCCCTGGGGTGGCCGAGCAAATCTGCACCTCTGCGTGCCGCTCCACCGGTGTGCGCCCAGTGTCCGGCGCGGCCCGTCGGCTCGTCGATCGCGCTCGCGTCCGCCAGCGTTGCCAACAGAAAGAGTCGCTCCGCCTTGTCCTGGCCCAGCCACGCCTCGGCGCGACACGCTGTGCGCTTCCCCGCCCTCAGGCGTCAGCGTCCCGAGCCTTTCCCAGCTTCCCGCCCCGCGGATCGGAGCGACGGGCAATCCGCCTGCAAGGCATAGCGTGTCGCCGGGGCCGCCGCCGCGACATGCTAGGCTAAAAAACGTTACCAAGGGTGCAGCGATCTGGCACTGATCCAACCCGCCTGGCCGCTGTGCCACCAGAGCTGTCGCGGCGTCAGCTGTGTGCACCGTTGATTCAATGAGTGTTGGACAACCTCTGCTGTGCTAAGAGGCTTCGTTGATGCGGCCGAGGCCGTACTGCAGGTTTTCGAGCATGCCCGTGATGAATGTTGCAAAGGGTTAGTTAACCGTCGAGTTCGGGTGACGCCTCAATCACTAGGTGATATGCGGCCCTGCGTGGCTGGACGCATTGGTTGTGTTTTGTAGCCGCGGGCTCTGTCGTATCAACGTGTTTGTCTCGTGTGGTACACCTTTTTGGGATCAGCGGCGCGAGACGCTCCAAAGCGGTAGCACGCACGCGATGCATTGCGCCCGCTCTTGTGACGCGCACGTTACTTCATTTTTGCGCTGGTCGCATTCGCGTTGCTCGCCGCGCAGACCATGGATCGCTGACTTTACACATGTGTTGATCGAGGTGGGCCTCGCCTTGCACTCGTATGTAACTCTGGCAAGGGCGTGGTGCAATGGCTTAGCCCGATAAGGGCGACGTCTGGCCCAGGGCTCTCTTTGTGTTCTCAAGCCTTTCGCCCTTAATCAAATGGGTGTAAAGCAAGGTACGTCGGAGTGCTTTCAAGCGTGAAAATACCCGAGCGAGGGGGAAGAGGCACCAAAGGGATCAACTCGGCGTTCACTCGGCACGTGTTCACGCGTGCAGACGCCAGGGCCCCCCAGGGGAATGCCTAGAGTCGAGTGGATTCTTCACACGTAAAATGCCAGTGCGTAACACGCTGGTGGCATTTCAATCCACACGTACGAATGCGTGAGCGGAGGGGGTGGTGTCGAACATGCGTTTGGCAAGTGTTCATGTGGCACGTAGCTTCACGCATGTAGATGCCAAAGGGGTATCGAACATGTGGCTGGCGGATACATATATACATATATATATGTAGATATATACACACACATATGCGTGGAGGGGCTGGTGTCGATCGTGCGTCTGGCAGCGTATCAGAGTGAGGGGGGCGAACGGTCTTTCACTGACCCTAGGCGCGTGGCTGAAGTGGGGCTCCGCGGTGCGGATTGTTGTTGTTGTTGCTGTTGCGTTGTTGTTTTTGTCGTCGTCCTCGCCCGTGACCCCCCCTCGACCCACCTCGCGCCAGCCCTTTCACTCTTATCCACATTGCAGGGTGCAACGTATTTGGCACGTGTATTCACGCGTGCCGATTCTTGGATAGCTCTTTGAGAGGTGAAGGGCTGCCAGAAGAGAAGCCGGCCAGCTGGGCTAGCCAGCTGCATTCCTACGACTGGCGGTCCGGCATCATCGCAGCGATTCGCTTGACCCCGCAGCGTGTTCCGCAATCGTTTCCCGAACCGTTGCCAATACGCGTGTTGGAAGCGCTTGCGCAGCTCCTAGGCAGCGCTACCTCGGCTCGCGCACAGCTCCTAGACAGCCCCTCGTGGACTCGCGCGCGGCTACGCTTCCTTTGCCTAGGTTTAGCTTTTAGGCAGCTCCCGAGCAAGCTATGAAAACTCGATTCAAGCAATGCCAGAAGCGCCGCAAGCTCGCTTCACGGGGTGCAGCCAGCGTCCACCAGCGAGTAAAAGCGGGCGTCTCACCGCCGCCACGCACGCTTGCGCACGCTGGTGGGGCACGCGCGGTGACTCTGAATCAGGAAGTTCCGATCTGAACAGGTCGCTACACTTCGACCTGAGCAAGTCGTCAAAGGGCTTCAAGAGAAGATGCCGGCAAGTGAGAGTGCGCCCTCAGACTCGTCCGGCGTCGGGCCACGATTTCTGGAGCGACCCGCCAGAGTTCGCAGCATGTTCGTGGCGTTCGTTCAATGAGGTGGTTGACACCGCTTTGGCCCATGCTAGGTTAGGAGTCACACCATCGCTTCGAGACTTGTGCGCACGGCGTGCAACGAACGTGCGTGCACGTGCGTGTACGGCCCTGCACGGCCGTGCGCGCACCTCTAAAACCGCTCCGCTATCTGCGCTGTGGGCTAGACAGGTGGGGGATGTCGAACATGCGGCCGGCGGATTCTTTACACGCGTGAACGTAGAGGTGGTGGTGTAGAACATGCGGCTGCCACGTGTCAGTTGGCACGTGTTTTCACAAGTGTACGTGCCAAGGGGGCGGTAACATGCGGCCAACGGATTCTTCACGCGTGCAGATGTATGCGCGGAAAGGGGTGATCGAAAATGTGATTTGCATGTGTGCAGTTGGCACTTGCTTTCGCGTGTGTAGGCGCTAATTGGGGGGGTGTCGAATACGCGGCTGGCGGGTTCTTCACGCGTACAATTGCGTGCGGGAAGGAGGTGGTGTCGAACATGACTCTGGCATGTGTGTATTTGGCACGTGATTTCACATGTGTAGGCGCCGAGGGGGGGTCGTATTTGCGGCCCGCCGAATTTCACACGTAAATTACACGTGAGCGGAGGGGGTAGTGTCTAACATGCGTTTGGCACGTGTATTTCAAAGTTCTGCACACGTGAAAATGTTTACGCGGAGAGGGTGGTATACACGCGTTTGGCACATACGATTCGGCATTTGTTTTCACTACGTAGCCCCAGGGGGTAGTGGCGAGCACCTGGCCAGTGGCTTCTTCACACGTGCAAGTACGAGCGCGGAGAGTGGGTGGTATCGAGCATGCGTCTGCCATGTGTGTATTTGGCACGTGTGTTCACATGCGGAGGCGCCAAGTGAGAGTGTCGAACATGCGGCCGGCGCGGTGTCAAGAATACGTCTTTGATCGAGTGCGTTTGGTACGCGTTTTCACGCGCGTGGAGGGCGAACACGCAACCAGAGGATTCTGCATACCTAAAACTATGTGCGCGAAGGATGTCGTGTCGAACATGCTGGTACGCGTGCATTTTGCAAGTATGTTTACGTGCGTAGGCGCCAAGGGGGGGGGGGGGTCGAACATGCGGCTGGCGGATTCTTCACACGTAGCAGTACGTGCGCGGAGGATTGGTGTCGAGCATGCGGCTGGCACGTGTGTTTGCGGCACGTGTTTTCACGTGTGTGGGCGCCAAGGGGAAGGATCCAACATGCGGCCAGCAGATTCTTCACGCGTAACAATGCGTGCGCGGAGGGGTGGTGTCGAACATGCGTCTGGCACGTGTGTTTGTGGCATGCGTTTGTCACGTGTGCAGGCGTGCGGCCAGCTGATTCTTCACACGTACACATGTTTGCGCGATAAGAGAGGTATCGAGCATGGGTCTAACACGCGTCCATTTGGCACGTGCCTTCACGTTTGCAGGAGCGGTGCGGCAGCCGCTTGGAGGGGAGCGGGTGGTTGGAGCGATGCGCCGCGTCGCCACCTCAGAAGGAGGCCAAGGATGAGAAGAAGTGGGGGAGAGACGGGGGAAGAGAAGAGGAGCAAGAGGGGAGGAGGGAGGAGGGAACAGGAGAGGAGGGGCACGAGGGAGGAGGGGAGGAGGAGGAGCAGGAGGAGAAGGATGAGGACCAGTGTAAAACCAAGAGCCATCAACGATGTTGGAATCCTCCCTCCAGGCTCCCTCTTCATAGGCCCCCACAACGGTCCATTTCCATTGAGGGAGCTGCCTCGGTGGAAGACATCCGTTTGAAGATCTTGAAGCATGCCAAAATATTGTTCTCGGGGATTTCAACGCCACGTATCAACCTGACTGCTGCGTCTTGACGATCCGGAATCGTGCCAGAGCGCCATTTCTGGCACTTCAACACCGCGAATCGACATAACTGTTGCACCCGCATAATCTTGAATCCGTCCAAATTTCTGATACGTTGATCATGGGGATCAGTCGAACATTTGCAAAAAAATCAAAACGAATGTGCGCGGCCCTCACGCGAGAGCAACATTTTGAAAAGGAAACGCCTTCAATTCGTGAAACTCTTGGGAAGTCTCATGCGAAACGCCCAGCCCGCCCTAAAAACTGGCCTCGGGGTGCGACAGGGAGGAGCTATGTATAAGGAGAATGAATGGAAGAGGAGGAGGAGAAAAGGAAGAGAAGAGAAGAAGGAGTAGGATGAGGGAGGAGGAGGAGGAGGAGGCAGAGGTGAAGGAGGAGGAAGAGGAGAAGGAGGAAGAGGAGGAGGAGAGAGAAAAGGAGGTGGAGTGGTACAGGAGGAGCGGGAGAAGCAGGAGGGGGAGGCGCAAGGAGGAAGAGGCGTGAGGAGTAGGAGGAGGAGGAAGTGACGGAGACGGGAGTAGGAATGGAGGAGTGGAACACACCTGCGTCACAGAAACATTGGGTTATGAACCAGATCACAGTATGGCATAGCAGAACATAGGAAACAATAGCAACGCACATAGCACAGCGTACGGTATAATATTACACCCTGATATGGCATAACGCACCGATGGAAGTCATGTGAAATATCAGTTGGGTTCAGGTCCTCACCAGGTTCGTGGGTCCGTCAAGCTCCTCAAGGTGATCTTGGTGTCCCTCGAGGCCTTCGTCGTGATCGTGCTGTCTGCGTTCGTCCTGAGTCGAGTCACGGGCTAGATACGCGAGCGCGTCTTGCTCTCTTTCTCCTAAGAGCCCTCCTTCTCCTCCCCCACCCTTCGGCTCACGCGACCAGGAGAACGCCCCGAGGCAGCCGCGGACGAGCTGGTCTTCCGCGCCACCGCCCTCCGACAGGAGCGGCGGGCACCCGTGCGTCCCTCCGCAGCAGTTTCGCGCCGCGTCGGCGCGGCGACTCCGGAGCGGGCCTCCCAGGTCGAAGGCCGCTGGCAACCTGAACGGAGACAGTCCTGCGCTCGATGCGCCGTCGGATGGCGGCGAGCGTTCCCGGGGCTCAGCGATCCACGCGGCGTCAGACACCCACGGCGGCGTCATCGCGGTGTGATCCCGCCGCACTCCCCTTCCTCAGCCCCTCTCACTCCTAACGTGGCTGTGCGTCTGGAACGTTGCCTCTCAGCGTGTTAATTGTCCGTGCGCTTGCCAGAGCGGCGTCTCGGTGTATCGCGCGCGGCCCCGCCTCGTGTCGGTCGGCCGAAAAAGCTTGCGGCGCGCCCAAGCCAGAATGCAGTGTTCAGGGAAAGATTGCGCAGCGTTCAGACAAGAGCAGCGCCTCGTGTACTGGCGCGAGGTGTGCGCCGCGTCCCATTCCAGCCGTGTAGCAGCAACATCCATCCTCATCCTCAGCATCATCATCATCATCATCATCATCATCAGCAGCAGCATCATCATCAGCAGTATTATCATCAGCAGCATCATCATAGTCATCATCATCACAATTAGCAGCAGCAGCAGCATCATCAGCATCATAATCATCGTCATCGTCATCATCCTCACATTCCTCCTCCTCCTCCTCCTCCTCCTCCTCCTCCTCCTCCTCCTCCTCCTCCTCCTCCTCCTCCTCCTCCTCCTCCCGCTCCTCCTCCCGCTTCTCCTTCTTCTCCTTCTCCTCCTCTTCATCCTCCTCCTCCTCATCATCCTCATCATCATCCTCCCTCCCATCCCCTCCTCCTCCTCCTCTCTCCTTATCCTCCTTTCCTCCCCTCCTCCTCCTCCTCCCTCCTCCTCCTCCTCCTCCTCCCTCCTCCTCCTCCTCCTGCTACTATTCATGATACCGGAGAAAATCCCCTATCAGGGCTATAGGGCTAGGGGGCTATAGGGCTATTGAGCTATAGGGCTATAGAGCTATAGGGCTATAGAGTTGTAGGGCTATAGGGCTATTGGGCTATAGGGCTATAGGGCTATAGGGCTATAGGGCTTAGGGCTGTAGGGCACCCCCGGGCACCCCCGGGCATCCCCGGGCACGCCCGGGCACCCAGGCACCCGGGCACCCAGGCACCCGGGCACCCCCGGGCACCCCCCGGGCACCCGGGCCCCGGCACCCCCGGGCATCCGGGCACCCGGGCGTGCAGCGAAAATCGGCGACAAACTTAACCTGACCATATGAATCTGCCAGGACCCCTACAGAGGCAAGCTCTGATTGGGGAATACTCTTACTCCTACTCGTATCCTTATTCATTATTAGAATATACTCTTACTCCCCTCTCTGGCCCGCCGATAGCGGCCCCATCCGTGCCCTGTCATCCTAACAGTAAAAAAAATCAATACTAAGTCGTCGTTTTTTCTGTCAACATGGCCTTTCTTGCCGTCGGCGATGCGAAATGCGTGGCAGGAAGAGGACGCGGCGCACATCGCGCGTGGCCGTCAATCCGGGCCCTCCCATCCTGACTGTAAAAAGTCCATACAAAGTCTTCGTTTTTTCTTTCAACATGGTTTGTCTTGTCGTCGACGATGCGAAATGCGTAGCAGGAATGGGACGCGGCGCACATCGCACCGCGGACGTCTGGGGCAACCCCATGCGGGAGGGGCCATCCTACTTTTCGAAAACACATACAAAGTCGGCATATTTCTTCTCAGCGAGGGCTTTCTTGTCGACGGCTTTGCGAAATGCGTGGCAGGAATGGGGGGCGGTGCACATCGCGCGCGACAGGGTGAACTGTCGCTCCCGCTTCGGCGCCGCGCGCATGTTTTCTGAAAGTTGCGCTCCCGCTAAGGCGCGGCGCACATTTTTCGCTCGCCAATTCGTCGAGCGCCTAGGGCCACCTGGGGCCTCCCAGGGTCTCCTGCATCAGCTGTGGCAAACCACCCTGCCGATCTGATTTCGGTCTCAAATTGCGCCAGCACTGTTCCTTATGTTGTGGGAGGGCGGGAGGAAATGGGCATGCCATGCGTGACTCGCTCGAGCTGGCTAGCTTGACTCCTACTCCTACTCCTTCTCCTCCTCCTCCTCCTCCTCCTCCTTCTCATCCTCATCCTCTTTCCCCCCTCCTCCTCTTCCTCCTCCTCCCCCTCCTCCTCATCCACTCCTTTTTCTTATAATGAACTCCTTCATGTCGAACCCCGAAGCCGATCGGAAGGGTTGGCCGGGCGTTTCGCCTGAGACTGCCGCACCATGTATGATCCGGAAGCTTAAAAATTGACAACAGTTTCACACATTGAGGGCGGATGGTTTTCAACATGTGGTTCTCGCATTAGCGCCGCGCACAGTCGTTTAAAAAATTGCAGGAGTTTCACGGATGGGAGGCGGGTGGTTTCAAATGTGGCTCTCACTTTCGCGCCGCGCACATCCGTTGAAATAAAACCAGATAACAAGAAAAGGTGGGGACAAGAAATCGCAAGACTTTCGCGCGCATTCGTCTTCAGACGTTGCAAGAGCTTCAGGAATGAGGGCGGGTGGTTTTCAACATGTCGTTCTCGCATGAGCGCCGCGCACATTCGCTTCAACCAAAAATTGAAAGAGCTTCACGGATTAAGGGCGGGTGGTTTTCAACATGTCGTTCTCGCATTAGCGCCGCGCACATTCGTGCTGGAACTTTGCAAGAGCTTCACGCACTGAGGGCGGGTGGTGTTCAAAATGTGGCTCCTGCCATGGCGCTGCACACATTCGCTTCCAAAAAAAGATCTGGGTGTTACGGGTTCCCATGGTTAACGTACCAGAAATGGCGTGTTGGAAAGATTCCGGATTGCCAGGGCGCAACAGACACGTTGATTCGCAGTGGTGAAGTCCCAGAAACGGTGTTTTGGCACGACTCGAGGCCGTCAAGACGCAACGGCCATATTGATTCGTGGCGTTGGAGCCCCGAGAATGTTGTTTTGGCGCGTTTCAGGATCTTCAAACGGTCGTCCCCCAACGGGGCGCTTCCCTCAGGGGAAACGAATATTTGTTAGGGGCCTGTGCAGAGGGAGCCTGGAGAGAGGGCCAATCCCGTTAATGAGACTTGGGTGTGCATTGGTCGTCCTCCTCCTCCTCCTCATCCTGCTCCTCCTTTTCCTCCTCCTCCTCTTCCTCCTCCTCCTCTTCCTCCTCGTGCTCCTCCTCTTCATCCTTCTCCTCCTCCTCCTCCTCATCCGCATCCTTATCATCCTCCTCCTCATCCTCCTCCTCCTCTTCCTCCTCTTCCTCCTCCTCCTCCTCCCTCCTCCTCCTTCTCCTCCTCCTCCTCCTCCTCCTCTTCCTCCTTCTCCTCCTCCTCCTCCTCCTCCTCCTCCTCCTCCTCCTCCTCCTCCTCTGATACCTCTGATACCTCTGATACCTTCAAGGCGAGCGCAGCAGTGCCACACTCGCCCGCATCGCATCGTGAAGCTCTTCGTCATGGAGTGAGGAGGCCGACGTGCAGCGCGAACTCCAGAGGGGCACCAGCCCCTACTTGCCGCCCTTGCCCGACTTGCAGCATCTGGCCGCCGCCCCAGCGGCAGACACGAGCGGCTCCACGTCCCCGTCGTCGAACTCGTGCACACTCGCACGGCACCCGCTCCCGACCAGGACGCACACGGAGCCGCTCACGGGGACGCCGTACACCGTACCCACGCGGCCGTCGCGGAGCCGCACGCGGACGCCGTCCCGCAGTCCCGCAGCGACCACGACCGCCGACGGCGACGGCGAGGGCGCGGCTTCCCCACCGCCAGCGTCGAGGGGCAGGGCGGCGCTCATGTCCTTGCCCTTGCCCGTGCGCCACCCTGTGCTGGACGGCGGGTGGCGCAGCTGTATGGGCAGCTCGTCCGCCCAGCTGTCGTCCTGCAGCATGGGCTCGGTCGACGCTGCCGCCCTCTGCTCTGCGTCATCCGCCGCCCAGCCCTCCTCGTCGCACGTGTGCATCGTCGCGTCCTCCGCCAAGGCCGCCCGAACAGCGCCACGCTCCGCGCGCGGACGACACTTGCAGCGGTGCCGAGGGCTCGCGGGAGCATGATCGCCAGCAGCAGCAGGCTTCGGGGGCGGCGCCGCGCGCCGGGCGCGGACGGCGGCCCGATCCACGGGCGCAGCGAGGCCAGCGGCGGCATGCACCGCAAGCACGCTAACCCGGGCCGCCTCGGGCGCCAGGCTTGCGAGGCGGGGTCCGCAGCGGTTCCCATCGGCATCGGCGGGCCAGGCGCGCCGACCAGACGGCGACAGCGCCACTGGGGGCGTGAGCCAAAATGGACTACCTTCTTTCTCCTCCTCCTCCTCCTCCTCCTCCTCCGCTCCTCCTCCTCCTTCCCTCCACTCCCTCCTCCTCCTCTCCTCCTCCTCCTCTCCTTCTCCTCTCTCCTCCTCTCTCTCCTCCTTCCTTCTCCCTCCTCTCCTCCTCCTCTCTCCTCCTCTCCTCTCCTCCCCTCCTCCTCCTCCTCCTCCTCCTCCTCCTCCTCCTCCATCGCCCTCCCCCTCCCCTCCGCCCTCTCCTCCTGCTCCTCCTCCTCCTACTCCCCTCCTCTCCTCCTCCTCCTCCCCTCTCTCATCCCATCATCATCATCATCATCATCATCATCATCATCAATCATCATCATCAATCTATCATCATCATCTCATCATTCATCATCCTCTCCTCATCCCTCCTCCTACCTCCTCCTCCTCTCCTCCTCCTCCTCATCCTCCTCCTCCTCCTCCTCCCTGTCTCCCTCCTCCCCCTCCCCCTCATCCTCCTCCTCCTCCTCCTCCTCCTCCTCCTCCCTCCCCTCTCCTCCTCCTCCTCTCCTCCTCCTCCTACTCCTCTCCTCTTCCTCCTCCTTCTCCTCCTCCTCCTCCTCCTCCTCCTTCCTCCTCCTCCTCATCCTCCTCCTCTTCCTCATCCTCCTCCTCCTCCTCCTCCTCCGTCCGTCCGTCCGTCCGTCCGTCCATCCATCCTTTTTTCCCGACCTCCTCCCTTCTCCCTTCTGCTGGGTGAAGAGGGCTGCCTGAGTGCAGTGGTGCCGCGGACGCAGCAGCGGGCTCCGCCGAGGCTACAGCCTTCGCCATCGCAGCGGGCCTCAGCGTGCGCCGCCGACTCACGAGGAATGGCGGAGGGCGTCGGCCCAGCCGTCCGACTCGAGGCCGGATACCACCGATGCATCGTCAGCCGCTGCCTCCGCCGCAGGCGCAGGCCCGAGGCCCCCGCCCGCCGCCCCAGCCGCCGCGCCCACCGCAGGAGGCCTGCGCCGTCCGCCGCCGCCTGCTGCGAGGCACAGCCGCTGGCGTCGGCACCGACGCCGCTCCGACCTTTCGCGGCCCTCGACGTCCTCGAGCGCCGCCCGCCGCGGACCCAGCACCCGCCGACGGCGGCCGCGACGTAGGAGCAGCCGCGAAGGCCGCTGCCGGCACAAACGGCCGCGCCACGGCGGCCACCACGCTCCTCGGCGCGCGGGCTTCCGCCGCGCGAAGGGCCGCCGCCAGCAAGGCGGCGCCGCCCGCAACGCCCAGAGCCCCTCGAGCCCGGACCGCAGCAGCCATCGCGGGGACGGCCGGAGCTCAAGGCATGAGGAACGAGGAGGAAGGAGGAGGAGGAGAACCAGCGCAAACCCAAGACTCATCAACGATGTTGGAATAACACCTTCCCTCCAAGCTCCGTTTTCCAGAGGCCCCATACAAGGGTTCATTTCCGCTGAGGGACGTACCCCGTTGGGAGACAACCTTTTGAGGGTGTTGAAACGTGCCAAAACACCAGTCGCGGGACTCCGACGCCACGAATCAATATGATTGTTGCGTCTTGACGGTCTTGAATCGTACCAGAACACATTGTTCCTGGGACTCCACCACCGCGAATCAACATAATGTTTGCGCCCTGACCATCCTGAATACTTTCAAAAACGCCCTTTCTGGTAGGTTAGTCATGGAAACCCGTGAAACGCTGGCAAAAAATTAAAAGGAATGTGCGCGACGTTGCAGCGAGGGCCACATCTTGAAAGTGGCCCGCACTCAATCCGTGAAACCCTTACACTTGTTAAGACGAGTGTGCGCGACGCGAAAGCGAGAGCCACGTGTTGAAATCGGGCCGCCCTCCATCCGTGAAGCTCTTGCCAATGTTCAACACGATTCTACGGGGCGCGAAGGCGAGAGCCACAGTTTGAAACCCACCCGCGCTCAATACGCGAAACTGCTGCAAATATTTAAGACGAGTGCGCGCGGCGCTAAGTCGAGACCTCCATCGGCGAAATGGTTGCCAATGCTGAAGCTTCTGGATAATTAAGCGTAAGGACCTCTCAGGCGACATGCCCTGGCCTCGGGGTGCGGCAGGGAGGAGCTACGTTTCAGAAAAAAGGGCAAGGAATGGAGGAGGAGCAGGAGGAAGAGGAGGAGGAGGAGGAGATGTGGCAGGAGGGGGAGGAGCAGCACCAGGGCACAGGCGCCCCACAGGGATGCCCTCTGAGCACCTTCCTCTTCTGCGTGACCCTGGCGGGCGTGTTGGAGAACACCCAGGGAGAGCTCAACCGGTGCGGCCTCGGGACCAGCCTTGTGGCCTACGCGGACGACATATACTTTGTCGGGCCCGCGGCCAACTTGTCGGCCTCGTACGAGGTGCTCGCGCACGGGCTCGCGGGGGTCGGGTTGCAGCGCGCGCCAGAGAAAACGAAGGTGTGGCTGGCTTCGCCCGAGGCAGCGCAGACATTCCCGCAGACGCTACGCCAGGCGGTGGTGCCCGATCTTCCCGTCATTGGGTGCACTCTCTGCCGCCACGACCGGGAGGACGATTTGGCGGCAGGCTTCGGCAACTCCGAGCAGGGCATGCAGAAAGCGGGGGCCCTGGTGCGCTCCACAGCGGCCACCCTCAAGGACGCCAGGAGCCGCGGTCTTTGCTGCCAGGTGGCGGGCGCCATCCTCCGGTACGTCACAGCCGGGGCGCCGCAGCACCTGATCCGCTCGCGGCGCTCGCGCCTTTGGAGTGAACGGGCACTCGCGGAGTACAACAAAGAGGTCGCAGACGCCTGGGCTGACATGATCGGCGTCCCGTTGACTCCTGAGCAAGTCGCCATCGGCGACCTGCCGCTTCGCGACGGCGGCGCCGCCTTTGGAAGGGCCGCGCCGCGGGCGGCCGCTGCCTTCCACGCGGGTTGGCGCCAGCACCTCTGGCGGCAGAGCGCGGGGGCCCCCCTTTACACAGAGCAGGGTTTGCGCGACGCCTTCCCGAGCCTCGCGGCGGAGCTGGAGAAGGCGAGAGCCGATTTGACCACCCGGGCTCCGGCGCTCGTTGGACGTCACCAAGGAGCCCACCAAGCGCATGCAGAAGGCGCTCATGGACACGATCTCTCTCAGAGCGCGTGCGCTTGTCCTCGACGGAGTCCAGGAGCCCTACCGAGCGCGCCTGAGGCAGGCAGGCGGCGCCGGAGCGGGCAGCTTCTTGTGCGTGCCGCAGCCTGGCACCTGAGCCATCGCAGATGCAGATTGACAGATGGCCTTGCGCAGGCGCCTGCTGTGCACAGTCGAACACATAGTCTTTCCAGCGCATGCGGAGACGCATTGTCGCCACTCCGGTCCTCGGGGTGCTTCCGGGGCGCAGCTGGACGGGCTTGCTGGTCTTCTGCACGCAGAAGGGTGCAAAATCGGCGGGAGCGTGGTCGGGGGCCACAACGAGATCCGCAATATCTTGTGGTATTTCGTGAAGGAGCACATCGACCCTCGCGCGCTCCGCGAGCAGGGCCTGGAGAGCTTGCGGGCGCCGGCCTTGGCAGACGCAGCGGCCGATGACGACCCGGCCGACGTGCTTGATGTCGTCTTCAACTACGACGGCCGGCGCGTCTCCATCGACGTCGCCGCGGTGGGAGCACGAGCAGACCCGCCGCGAGTCTGGGCAACGGCCAGCCAGGACGGGGCAGCCGCCGCGGAGGAGGACAGGGCCAAGAGGCGGCGCTACGCGGGACTGAATATTTCTCCGCGCGTCCTGGAGGTCGGAGGCCGCCCCGGCGAGAGCGCCCAGGTTGTCATCCGCATGCTGGCTGCCATGGCCGGCGGCGAGGCCAAGGCGTCTGCGCTGGCGGCGGGCCTCTGGCAGGAGGTCAGCAACGCCCTGCAGGCCTCGGTGACCTGGCGCACCGCCAGCGCCTACGTCCGCCCGGACAGCATGTCCGCGGCGGGCTCCAGAGGCCCCAGGGCGGACGAGGCCGGCCTGAGGGCGGGGAGCGCTGAGGCGGAGCAGCGCCCAGGAGGAGGAGGCGGAGGAGGATGAAGGGGGAGGGAGAGGAGGCGGGCGAGGGCGAGGACGAGGGCGCGCCAGACGAGGCGGCGGACGAGAGGCAGAGAAAAAGGCCGCAGAGGAGAAGGAGAAGGGAAGACGGCGAGGAGGACGACAAAGACGAGGCTGAGGAAGGGCGCCGGCGCCGACGGCCGAAAAAAAAAAGCGGACGGGCAGTAGGAGGAGGAGGAGGAGGAGGAGGAGGAGGAGGAGGACGACGACGACGACGAGGAGGAGGCGGAGGTGGAGGAGGAGGAGGAGGAGGAGGAGGAGGAGGAGGAGGAGGAGGAGGAGGAGGAGGGAGCGGAGGAGGCGGCAGCAGGCAAGGAAGAACCGAAAAATTGCGGCTTGGCGGCGGCTGGCGGAGGGCGTTGGGCGGCAGACGGTGCGGAGGAGCAGCGGAGCCGCGGAGGTTGGGCAAGCGCGTGCGCGGGCGCGCATCGGCGCGCGAGGCGCGGCTCGCAAAGGTGGCGGGCCCCCCCTCGGACTTTGGGGGTCCCGCTGCCACGCAAGCAGGAGCAGCAAGAGCAGGAGACAGGAGGAGAAGGAGCAGGAGGCAGGAGGAGGAGGAGGAGCAGGAGGCAAGAGGCAGGAGGAGCAGGAGGAGGAAGAGGGAGGAGGAATTTGTTGTCCGTTTCAGGCCCTCCTCCGCTGCATGCCGCGAGCACCGCGCCCTCCTCCCGCAGCAGGAGGGCCTGCCCGCGAACGCCCCCCAAGTCAACGACATTGCGCGGGGCGTGGCGGCTGGGGTCTGCCGCCGCTGGGGTTGCCCGGGCCGTCAATAGTCGTCGCCGAAGTCGTCGTCGTCGAGGGGAAGGAGAATGAGGAGGAGGAGGAGGAGGAGGAGGAGGAGGAGGAGGAGGAGGAAGAGGAGGACAGGGCCCCGGGGGCGCTGGTGTCGCACCATCAAGGGGGGCAGAAGGGGCTCGCCCTCTCCTTCGCCGCCACCTCCTGTCTTCGTTTTCGCTGAGGCTTCCACTGCTGAAAAATAATGGGTCGGGTTTTCTCGCCTTGGAGCCGGCTGGGGTGCCTATTTCAGGACAACCCAAACGGGTGAGAATGGGGCCCCCTCGTCGCCACGGCTGAACGCGGCTCGAGGAATTGGCCAGTTTCGACCCCAGGAGGCATCTGGGGATAGCTTGTGAGAGAGTTTGCCCTCACCCCCCCCTCTTGACCGATATTTGTCCAGGGCTTATCCAGCTCAGACCCCTCCTGTCGCGGCATGCTAACATGTCAGGCTCCAGGTGTCAAAAGTTGACATTTGGACCTGACATGGGATGCGTCCTGCCCAGAATTTCGAAGCGGATCCAGCTGTGGCGACGAGAAGCCCCCAGAGGCCCAGATAAGGCGAGAAAGACCCAAAGACCCTCGAACCTCGAACATCGATATTCTCAAGCTGGGCTCATCCAGAACAGACCCACTGGCCGCCTCCCCAACGCTCGCCCCAGCCTTTCGGAGGGGCGCCGCGCGCGCGACTCGCGCTGCGAGCATGAAGTGAGGACCCCCGAGGCCGCCGCCACGGGGGGGAATCCGTCTGCGCCTCCTCGGAGGCCCAGAGCAGCCAAAGAAAAGAGATGGGAGAAGGAGGAGGAGGAGAAGGTGGAGGAGGAGGAGGAGGAGGAGGAGGAGGAGGAGGAGGAGGAGGGAGGAGGAGGAGGAGGAGGGAGAAGGAGGAGTAGTAGGAGGAAGAAGAGGAGGAGGAAAAGGAGGAGGAGAAGGAGGAGGGCCCTGACAGCCTCGCGACGCGAAAACAAAAACATCACGAAAGGTTTGTGTTGCCATTCTAGACGCTTCGCGTAACCCAACCAGTTTCGTCCTCTTCCCGGTGGTCTCGCCTCTGGGATACCCGCACGCTGGCCGCTTGGCTCTCCTGGCAGCTTTCACAGCCTGCCTTCAGCCCCCAGCGCCCCTCAGCTTCCCTCGGCGACAGCTTTGGCAGCCGTGAGTGCGTCCGCTGGGTAATTAGGCTTCGCCCGTAGCCCAGGTTGACCTTTGACGCTGCTGGCGCCTTCGCCTGCGGCTGCGACGGAAAAAGTAAACCAACCAGCCTAGCCAGAAACGATGCCTAGGCGAGTTGTTTTGACCAGGGATGTGGAGGAGCATGCAGTGGAGTAAAAGGGCTAGGGAAGCCGTCATACCCCAAGAAGGGGGAGGATGGAGAAGGAATCGGAGGAGGAGGAGAAGCAGGAGAAGGAGAGGGAGAAGGATAAGGCGAAGGATAAGGAGGAGGAGGAGAAGGAGGAGGAAGAGGAGGAGGAGAAGGAGGAGGAGAGAGGGAGAGCGAGGGGGAGGGAGAGGAGGGAGGAAGAGCAGAAAGGCCAGAGTCCTCCTAGATGCCTCTAGGAGGCTCGTTGGATGTCTCCTGAGAGCTTCGTGGAATCCTCTTGGGGCTTCTTGGGGGTATCTTGGAGGTCCCAGGAGCCTCTTGGAGCGTCTTCGTACATCGGGGGAGCCTCTTAGAGGTCTCTTGGGAGCGTCTTGGGGACCCCTTGGGGGCCTCGTGGGGCCTTCTGGGCGCCTGTTGGGACCCTCTTGGGGCACTCTGGGGAGCCTTGGGGGCCATCTTGGAGCCGTGTGGGTGGAATCGATCAAAGAATGGGGGGGAATCAATGAGGGCCCCATCTCTTAGAGCCCCTGAACTCGCCTCTTGGGACGGTCTTGGAGCTTTCTTGGGCCCTCTTGTAGCCATCTTGAGGCCTCGGAGGGCCATCAAAATCGAGAGGGTGAGAAGGCAAAAACCATCGATATTCCGTGCTGTTTGAAGGGTGTTGGTTTCTTGGCGGCTTCCTTAGGAGGCTCTGTGGACTCTTAGGCCCGTCCTAAGGAGGATTTCGAGCGCCGTGGAGCATCTTGGAAGCCATCTTGCGCGATCTTGCGCTACCTTGGAGCCATCTTGGAGGCCAGTCTGGGCTCTCTGAGGCCCTCTTGGAGCCATCTTGGGACATCTTGGACGCTCCCACGACCCGCGAAAACCCCCTTTCAGACCCAAGAGAGGGGTGGATAGGGGGAAGGGTCAAGCTACCCAGAAGCAGCAGGCCGTCTCGCTCATTCCCACCCGCCCTCCCGATACACAAGTAGCACACGAGTCTCAGTATTGACAGAGGCCGCCATCGACAACCATCGGGAGCCAATGCGGACGCCGGCCGGGTGCGCGCAGCCCGCGAGGTGCGCCACACACGCCGGTTGCGCCACGCGCACCAGGTGCGCCACATCGGGCAACATGTCGACCTTCCCACCGTCCCTGCAAGAAATGAATGCCAGGTGACGGCGGGTGTGTTGTGTGCGGGTATGCACCCACGATCGTTTTGTGTTTGTTTGGTGAGCTTGCCCACAGCAGGCGGCCTGCCGCCCCGCCACCACCCGCCGTCCCTGGCGACATGAAGTTCTCCTCGACATGTTGAGAGGGATGGTGGGCCTGCACACGGCAGTATGCCCACGCCCCCGCCGCCCCTGTCAAAGACCAGCGCAGTGTGAGCGCAAGGCATCCGCGCATGGCCCAGATCCTGGTGCACAGTGCATGCTGCATTGTTTTTGCAAGGGGCGGTTTGGGGGTGGTGGCACTGCACACAGCAGGGAAGATGCCGCCCCTGTCAAAAGCCAACGCAAAGAGATAGCGGGCCGTCCGCGCATGAATCAGATGTCGGTGCAAAATGAATTTTAGTATTATTTTTTTGCTAGGGATGGTGGGAGGGATGTCGGCCTGCGAGCAGCAAGCAATATGCCAGCACCCCCGCCGTCCTTGGTAAAAACCATGCAAAGTGGTCGCGGGGCGCCCGCGCATGCTCCACATTTGGAGGCAAAGTGTGTTCTGCACTGTGTCTTGACAGGGATGGTGGGCGGGCACACATGGGTGTCGCATGGGTCTGGGTTGGCCGCCTGTCGGCTGGGGGAGGGGGTGCTCCCTAATAGAGAGCAGTGATCAAGACACCTTTCCCAGACGCAAACTGTTGGGCTCGTGGGCTCGGCAACTCGCCAGCCACCATGCGGTCCTCCCCCTCACGCTGTGGCGCAGCCTCGCTGTGCTGGCACATTGAGGATGAGGTCCTGGCTTCATTTGCGTGGATGATGCGGGGGGGGGAAAGAAAGACAAAACAAAAACAGACGCAAACTACTTGTCCCGCTCACACGCGCCCTTCCAGTATATCTTGGCATCGCTCGGACGTGTGCTTTTTTCCTTCGGCGAGGACCATCGAGGAGCATCCTTGATCATTTCGCGAAAAAACCACGCACGAAACCGAGAAAAGCACAGGAAATGGCCGTCCGAGCGATGGCCAGTATATAGGTAGCACCCCAGTCTCAGCATCTTCAGCGGCTGTCTCTGGACGGACGGCTACCGGGAACCAGTACAGACCCGAAAGTACGCGAAACGCCGGGGCGGGGTGCGCCACGTCGGCCCCCGCCGTCCCTGTCGAGAACCTGAGGGACATTGCTGCCTCGCCTTTTGTGGCTCCCGGGGCCCCCTGGGAGCACCCAGGTTCCTCCGGGGGCCTCTGGAGGAGGAGGAGGAGGAGGACTTCGGAAAAGGAGGTTAGAGAAGCCAGGGGGGAAGGAGCAGGACCAGTGCAAACCCAAGTGCATCAACGGTGTGACAAGAAACCTTCCCTCCGAATTCCCTCTTCATGGGTCCAGCAAGAATTTGCTTCATTGCTGTAAACGCTACATTGGAATATAACCGTCTGAGAATCCTTAGTCGTGCCACAGCGCGATCCCTGAAAACTCAGCGCCGCGAATCAACATGGCTGTTGCATCCTGTCAATCCTAATTCGTGCCAGAACACCGATCCTGGAACTTCAACGCCGCAAGTCAACGTGACTGTTGCTTCCTGGCAATGCTAAATCGTGACAGAACACAGTTCCTGGGATTTCAACCATGCGAGTCCTTGAAACTGTTGCAAACTTTCAAGGCGAATGTGTGCGGCGCTACGGCGAGGGCCACATTTTGAACAGGAACCGCCCTCCATCCGTGAAATTGTTGCCAAATTTCTCAGACGAATGCGCGCGGCGCAAAGGCGAGAGCCACATTTTGAAAAGCAGCCGCCCTCCCTCCATAAAACTGCTGCACACCTTTTAAGACGAATGTGCGGAGCGCTGCGGCGATAGCCACAAATTGAAAACCATCCGCCCTTCTTGCGCGAAACTGTTGCAAAGTTCAAGTTTCCGGATCATAAGTTGTGAGGGGTTCTCGGGCGAAACGCCTTGCGCGCCATACCGACAGGGAGGATGAGTTAGCGGCAAGGAAGGGATGGACGACGACGACCACGACGACGACGACGAAGACGATGACGGCGACACCGAGGGAGGGGGGGAGGGCCAAGCGGAGGCAAGCAGGAGAGGAGGGAGGCAGGAGGAGGAGGAGGAGGAGGCTAGGAGGAGGAAGAAGAGGCTAGGAGGAGAAGGAGGGGAGGGGGGAAGAGAACGGGCTCAGGGGGGTTGGGGAGGTCCAAAGATGTCATGACGCGCTCCGTGGAGGTCTAGGAATGAGGAGGGCGACGAGGAGAAAGAGGAGGATGAGAACGGCGATGACGAGGAGAAGGAGGAGGAGGAGGAAGAAGAGGAGGGAGGAGGCCCTCTTTGCCTCCTCCCTATCCCAGCCCCCTTTCCTCAGGCTTCCCCTCCTCGCTGCCTCTCATGTTCCCTCCCTTTAGGCCTTCCTGCCTCCCTCTGTGCACCCACCCTACCCCACCCCCGGGGAGAAAAGGGAGGAGGAGGGGAAGTCAGAGGGCGGAAGAGGGGAAGGAGAAGGAGGAGGCCCTTGATTCTTCATGTTTTCCATTTTGTCCTTTCTCTCATACCCCACATTCCTATCCCCCTTCCCCCCACACCATCCTCACCGTTCCCCGCCCTGCCCACGCCCGTTTTGTCGAGCTCGCATTTGGGGGTGTCGTTTCCGAGCGCCCTTCCTGTCCAAGCTTGCCCAAGGGGGCGAGGCCGAAGCAGCTGACAGCTTGCGCGACACCGCTCCATCCTTGCCTCGTTGTTCCTTTTGTTCGTGGTGGTTGAGGGTTCCGCTGCCACTCACGTTCGGACTCCTGGCACGACTTGTTGAGCAAATCCACGCAGGCCTCCACCAAAATGCACACGGCGGGCGTGAATTTGGCGACATCGTTATGTTGATGCGGTCCCACGGTATCGATGCCCTCTCTCGGGGAACCGGCCTCCGCGCGCACGGGGTGTCGCTTGGCCGTTGTGTCGCTCGGAGCTCGTGCTGTTCGGTCCTGTCCCGCTTTGCCGCCATTTCCATGGGCCTCGCGCTCCAGCGGTGCGTCAATGCTTGCGTCAGTGCTCTTCGTCGCATGCTTTCCTCCGTGACGGGGCCTCGGCGGGCTGCTCTGGCGCCACCTGCGTCTGCCACTCATCGCAGCCTGCTCTAAGGTCAGGAAGCTTTGCTCAGCGTGTCGCGCCGCCGCTTCTTCGCTTCAGCGCTTTCCCAGCCCCACGTCCCACGAAACGGAGCGATGCGGCACGAGCTTGCCAGGCGCAGCGCGTCACAGGGGCCGTCGCCGCGAGACTCTACGCAGAAGTTCTCGACCGCAGGTCGCACGGTGGAGACACGAGCAGATGTGGCTGCGGTCCCAGGCTACGGGTCAGCAAAGGCCAGGGCTCGAAGGGGGAACGACACGAGACGGAAGCGGAAGAAGAGTTTCAACGGCACGCCGCCGTGGGGCTGCCCATCAGCGTGGTAGTTCTGCGATGCTGTCCGAAGCCCGGGTGCCTCGTCGACAGCAGCCGCGCTGACGGGTTCCCCGCGGCGGCGCGTCGTTGGTATTGCTTCTGCTCCCCACAAGAGAGAGAGAGAGAGAGAGAGAGAGAGAGCGCACCGTGCACGTCAGAGGTGCGCCGGCAGGAAAGACACGTGCTCGGAGGTCCGCTCGGAGTTCTCGCATCGGCGCTGTGCAACCCCCATCCCTGGGGCGCGGAGCGCGCCGCGGGCGGCGCGCGGAGGTTGTGCCACGGGGGCCAGCGCTGGTCCGGGAGAGCCGCGCGGACCTCCGAAAGTTTCCGCCCACACACGGGTTTCTCCTTGTGCTGCCTGGTATCGTTTGGACCTGGGATGCCCTGGCCTTCTCCAGGTCCCATGGCGCTGGCCCGCATCGACCCCAGCCGACGCACGGATTTCGTGCCGTGGTGTCTCTTGTTGGCCCCAGGGTCCCGAGGCGGGCCTCGGGAGGCCCCAAGACCTCGCAGAGTCCGTCCGTCATGACCTGTTCCCGGCTGCACGTAAGAGTGACCTTTCTCAGGAGTGACCTTTGGTGCGGGCGCGCCAGCGTCGGAGCAGGTCAAGCTTGCTTGACCGTCAAGCAAGCACCCAATGGCAAGCACCTCAACCACTCATAAACTTTGCCCGTCCTGCGGGCTGCGAGGAGGGGAAGGAAGAAGGAGGAGTCCTTCTCAGAAGGCGGCGGGGCTTCTCAAGAGCCCTCCAGCCCTGTGAGAAGTGTTGTGCGTCGTCGGGGGAGGCCTAGAAAACCTCTCGGAAGGCCAGGGGACTTCCGAGCCTCCTGAGAAGGCCGGGGGACTTCCGAGCCTTTTGAGAAGGCCGCGGGACCTCCGCGCCTTCTGAGAAGGGCATCGGGCGCTCGGTCCGGAGAGGGGCCGGGCTGCCACCGCAGGGTGGGGAGACGCGGCTCGCCGCCGATCCGAGGGCGGCGTTCCTCGGCCGCCGGGTGCGGTCGCGGGAGGCGCAGCAGCTCTGCGCTAACGGGGGACGGATCCGGTTGCAAAGCATGAGAGCCTTGTGTGCACCCTGGTAGCTGACTCTGTCTTTGGAGTGCACTGGCGTCGATTAGCGTCTGGGAGTCGACGAGAGAGCGCCGATGTACGTCGGTCAGCGTCGGCTAGCTTCGATTTGGCGTCGGTTTAGCGTCGACTAGCGTTGGCTGGCGTCGATTTAGCGTCGATTAGCGTAGATCTAGCGTCGATTAGCGTCGATTCGCAGGAGCCGACAAGATGGAAGACGGTATGGGAGGCTCCCACGAGCTGCCACCGAAGATGGACGGCGAGGGGCGGGGCGGGGCGGGGAGCTCTCCCCCGGGGCAGAGAGAGAGCTGCGTGAGCACGCGGTGGGTGCGCAGCGTGCCGATCTCGGGCCCGAGGCTGGGGCGTGGACATGAAGAGCTTCGACATCGAGGCGGGGCGCTCGGGCGCGCGCCGCGGCTGATCTTGGGGGGGAGACCGGGGGCGGCACGCGGGAGGGGAGACGTGGAGCCAGCTTGGGGGCTGAGGCGTCCCAGCACTGGCTCTGGCCAGCAGGGGTGGGGGAGCAAGGGGGTCCCGTTCGTCGCCACGGCTGGACGCGGCTCGCCTGCTCCTCCGCCCCCCCTCTCAGGGGCAACGTCAGGGGAGATAGGCTCAAGGATGGACGCCTCGACCCCCAATCGCCGACTAATCGCCGATGGCGGCCTGAGAGCCCTCCCTGCCTAGGAACGTGCGGTCTCGTTAACAGGGGCCTATCGCCGATGTAACAGCGCTTCCCCCCTGAGCCAGTCCCCCCATACCGTTCTCCCCCCCCTCTGGCAGAGGAGGAGGAGGAGGAGGAGGAGCAGACAAGCTAGGTGCGCTCGCGTCATATCTGACATCCTACCCCTCCCTTCCATCCCTTACCATGGCGTAGATCCCCTCTCTACTCGCACAGTCGGATGTCGAGCAGGGCAATGATCCCGAAAGGGTACGCGATGCATTGTAGAGCACGGCATGGCATGGCGTAGAAGAGCACCGCAAAGCGTAGTATGTCACAGCATGGCGTGGCGTGGCGTAGTGAAGAATTGCATCACAAAGCTTTGCAACGCAAAGCATGGCATCGCACAGCGGCCCCGAACACAACATTGCATAGCATGGCGTTGCAGAACAAAGCGTAGCATGGCATAGCACGACGTGGCACTTAAGCACTGCATATCACAGCTTCAGCTGAAGGCATGGCATTGCGCAGCGGAACGCGACCTAGCATTGCATTGCATGCCGCGGCATGGCACGGGAAATGACGCCAGCGCTGCAGCGGGAGCACGATTCGGAACGAGCGGAAGCGGGGAAATGAGGCCAGCGCTGCAGCGGAAGCACGATTCGGAACGAGCAGAAGCACGGAAATGAGGCCAGCGCTGCAGCGGGAGCACGAGTCGGAACGAGCGGAAGCGGGAAAATGAGGCCAGTATTGCAGCGGGAGCACGATTCGGAACGAGCGGAAGCACGGAAATGAGGCCAGCGCTGCAGCGGGAGCACGATTCGGAACGAGCGGGGCCCGAAAATGAGGCCGGCGCTTAAGCGAGAGCAGCATTGTGGAAAAAAATGCAGGCGAAAACCCAACTCCAGGGAATCCTGTGTGTAAAAAAACAGTCCGCGGAGGGGGGGGGGGGGGGCGAACACTCCCAAGCCGTCATCAGGGAAGGAGGAGAGTAGTATTCATATTGAGTAGTTGTAGAAGGAGGAGTAGGAGGAGGAGGAGGAGGAGGAGGAGGAGGAGGAGGAGGCAGAGGAGGAAGAGGAGGAGGACGACGACGACGACGACGACCATAACGCAGCGTGGGGACTTCGCCCCATCCCCCTCCAGAGGTGTGCGCGGTGTGGCTGGCCGACGCTCTGCTGGTGGCCGTGCCGCTCACCGTGGGCCGCACGGGGGGGAGGGGGCAGAGGGGCCAGCACAATTAGAGATGAGCACGATTAGACATGAACGACGTGTAGATGTTATTGGACGGTTCGAGATTGAGTTTTTCCCAACCAACCTGTGTTGTTGGGTCCTCGTTTTGAAGAGACGGTCCCCGCGTTTCTCCTCCTCCTCGCCCCCGCCCTCCAGGTGTTCGCATGCGGTTCCCCCACCCAGGGCAGCGTTTCGTGGCCCCATAGGGAGCTCCACCGAAGGCCCCAGTGGGGGTGTTCGCATGCGGTTCCCCCACCCAGGGCAGCGTTTCGTAGCCCCATAGGGAGCTCCACCGAAGGCCCCAGTGGGGGTGTTCGCATGCGGTTCCCCCACCCAGGGCAGCGTTTCGTGGCCCCATAGGGAGCTCCACCGAAGGCCCCAGTGGGGGTGTTCGCATGCGGTTCCCCCACCCAGGGCAGCGTTTCGTAGCCCCATAGGGAGCTCCACCGAAGGCCCCAGTGGGGGTGTTCGCATGCGGTTCCCCCACCCAGGGCAGCGTTTCGTGGCCCCATAGGGAGCTCCACCGAAGGCCCCAGTGGGGGTGTTCGCATGCGGTTCCCCCACCCAGGGCAGCGTTTCGTAGCCCCATAGGGAGCTCCACCGAAGGCCCCAGTGGGGGTGTTCGCATGCGGTTCCCCCACCCAGGGCAGCGTTTCGTGGCCCCATAGGGAGCTCCACCGAAGGCCCCAGTGGGGGTGTTCGCATGCGGTTCCCCCACCCAGGGCAGCGTTTCGTAGCCCCATAGGGAGCTCCACCGAAGGCCCCAGTGGGGGTGTTCGCATGCGGTTCCCCCACCCAGGGCAGCGTTTCGTAGCCCCATAGGGAGCTCCACCGAAGGCCCCAGTGGGGGTGTTCGCATGCGGTTCCCCCACCCAGGGCAGCGTTTCGTGGCCCCATAGGGAGCTCCACCGAAGGCCCCAGTGGGGGTGTTCGCATGCGGTTCCCCCACCCAGGGCAGCGTTTCGTAGCCCCATAGGGAGCTCCACCGAAGGCCCCAGTGGGGGTGTTCGCATGCGGTTCCCCCACCCAGGGCAGCGTTTCGTGGCCCCATAGGGAGCTCCACCGAAGGCCCCAGTGGGGGTGTTCGCATGCGGTTCCCCCACCCAGGGCAGCGTTTCGTAGCCCCATAGGGAGCTCCACCGAAGGCCCCAGTGGGGGTGTTCGCATGCGGTTCCCCCACCCAGGGCAGCGTTTCGTGGCCCCATAGGGAGCTCCACCGAAGGCCCCAGTGGGGGTGTTCGCATGCGGTTCCCCCACCCAGGGCAGCGTTTCGTAGCCCCATAGGGAGCTCCACCGAAGGCCCCAGTGGGGGTGTTCGCATGCGGTTCCCCCACCCAGGGCAGCGTTTCGTGGCCCCATAGGGAGCTCCACCGAAGGCCCCAGTGGGGGTGTTCGCATGCGGTTCCCCCACCCAGGGCAGCGTTTCGTAGCCCCATAGGGAGCTCCACCGAAGGCCCCAGTGGGGGTGTTCGCATGCGGTTCCCCCACCCAGGGCAGCGTTTCGTGGCCCCATAGGGAGCTCCACCGAAGGCCCCAGTGGGGGTGTTCGCATGCGGTTCCCCCACCCAGGGCAGCGTTTCGTGGCCCCATAGGGAGCTCCACCGAAGGCCCCAGTGGGGGTGTTCGCATGCGGTTCCCCCACCCAGGGCAGCGTTTCGTGCCCCATAGGGAGCTCCACCGAAGGCCCCAGTGGGGGTGTTCGCATGCGGTTCCCCCACCCAGGGCAGCGTTTCGTGGCCCCATGGGGAGCTCCACCGAAAGCCCCCGTGGCGCAGTTCGCATGCGCTTCCCCCACCCAGGGCAGCGTTTCGTGGCACCATAGGGAGCTCCACCGAAGGCCCCAGTGGCGCAGTTCGCATGCGGTTCCCCCACCCAGGGCAGCGTTTCGTAGCCCCATAGGGAGCTCCACCGAAGGCCCGCCCCGGTGGCGCAGTCCGCATGCGGTTCCCCCACCCAAGGCAGCGCTTCGTGGCCCCATATGGAGCCCCACCGAAAGCGGCACCCACAACGCGTTACCAACAATTGCTTATGGTTGGGTCTTTCGCCAGGATAATTTGAATCCGGTACCGCGTGCCAGTTTATAAACCACCTGCTAAACGATCCAAGAGATTTAAGCACCGGGGTGATTTCCATCAATTGCCCCTTTTCTCCCCCCTCCATAGCCTGTCTTCGGTTGACAGACTGGCGGCGCGCCGCATGCTCGCCTTTGGCGCGCCCGTTGCACTGCTGGCCTTGGTGGTGGCGCTGGTCGCTGCGGTGGGGTGGTAAACAAGCCCCACGCCCGCGCCGCCAGCCGCGGCGCCAATGTGGCCCGAGGAGGTCGCGGAGGCCTGCGACGAGGCCTCAGCGGCCGCACTGCGGGCCGAGGCCGCGGCTTTGGTGGCCTCGGGGGTGCCCGCGCCGCCGACCCTGCCGCCGCCGCCGCCTCCAGACTGCAGTGCCTGCACCTGCCCGGACGCGGGCGACGACAGGGAGGCCGTGGCGCTGCTGTGCCACATGCTGCTGAGCGTCCTGTCGCCGGCCTGGGCAGTGCTTGCAGAGCGGTACTTGGGGTGCTGTCCTCGTCGCCAGTCGGCCAGCCGCCATGCTCCGCCCACGCGGGCGCGGGGCAGCCCCGCCCCCGGTCCCCGCGGCGCTGACCTGCCCTGAGGGGCCCGCTGCCGCGTGAGCTACGTCGACGAGCCGATGGACCACGACCGCGTCGTGGTGTGGCCGTCGAGGCGTGTGGAGGCGGGCGCGCCCGTGGACCCGTTCACGTATTGGGCCCTTTTCGGCGGACGGCGACGCGTGGGAGGAGCTGGTCTCGAGGGCCTTTCCCGACGACGGACCTGAGGAAGGCGACCGCCTTCCGGCTGGCAGTGGGCCCCATTCGGACAGCCTTCCGCGAGTGCCCGGGGCTCGAGCAACTGGTGGAGCTGGCGGAGCGCTGCCGGCAGGAGATGGAGCAGCGTAGGCAGGTGACCTGCGGCGGCCCGGCCTAGGCAGAGCTTCCGTCGGGCAAGAAGGTGGGTTTCGTGAACGTTTTCCCCTGGGCGGCGCCGCCCTGGCCACCCCACCGCTTCGGCAAGCAGTCGCTGCCCGTGGCGGCGGTGGCGAGGCTGGACGCGGGACCGCCCACGTTCCCGCCTGAGGGCCGCTCGCGGGTGCTGGCGGAGCTTATGCCAGGGCTCGACGTCGGGACGATCGTGGGGCCAAACGATGAAGAGCTGATCGGCACGGGTGGAGACGCCATCTGGCTTCGACGCGGACGAGCCCTCCGTTTCGAGCAGATGGAGCCTGGCGAAGTGCCAGACCAGACGGCGCGCGCGCGTGGCCGCGCCGCCGCCCGCGTCGCCGCCCCCTCCTGCGAGCGCCGAGGCGGCCGCGCCTGGGAGCGGAGGCCCAGCTCTGCCCGCCGCCGTGGGGGCCGCAGAGTTAGCTGAGCCTGCCAAGGACGGCGGGCCCGACATTGCGGCGCTGGGTGGAGCCGCCTCGAACAACACGCGCACGCTCTGGGTCGAGCGGGATGACCAGGGCGACAGGTTCAAGGAGTTCAGGAAGGAGTCGGGGAGTTGTGCGAGTGCGGTCACCACCGTCTAGAAGGAGGCTTGCCGTGCCTCCACACATTCAATACGGCGCATCGCACCTCTGGCTCTTCCCGCGCGCGGCTCGAGCAGTTCTTGCGCGACAAGAGCATCGCGCCGACGGACAGGGTGGCCCACGAGCTGCAGCCGCTTGCGGAGGCGAAGGGGGAGCCTGGCTGTTTCGACCAGGTGAACCTCGGGGGGCCTCGCCCGCCTGGAAGTGTTCACGCGCCGCCTCAACTGTCAACGCCATCGCAGATGCGCAGAAACGGAGTGGCTCCGCTGGGCGAGGCAGCCGAGCAGCGGGCGCCGGCGCTGAGGAACCATGTGACGAGGCGGGCGAAGGAGGACTGGGAGGTCGAGCATTCGATTGAAAAAAATGGAGCCGTCGACACCTGGGCGGGCACGACCACGGCGGGCGCCGACGCCGGCGGCGGCGCTGGCGCTATGGGGGCTGGCGGCGGCGACGGCAAGGGCCGCGGGCGCGGCGGCCGCGACCGAGGCCCTGGGCCTTCCCCGCTGACCCAGTCATGACCGAGCAGGCCCGACCATGGGAATGGCCCCACCCCCAGCTGGCACCACGGTTCGGCCTGGGCCGCATCGCCGCCGCCGCCCGATTGCGAGGGAAACCTACTCCTTGCGCCAACGACGCAGGAGCTGGGCGGCGGCGCCCGAGGGCGCCGGGCTGAGCGTTGGACCCGCGCTCGGCAGCACGAAGTCGAATTGGCGAATCGCGCCGTGCTCGACCTGAACTGGGCGGCCGGCTTCCAGGGCGCGGCCGCTTCACCGAGTCCGGGCGCATCTTCCTTGGACAAGCACGCAGCTGACCAGCAGCACCTGTTGCGAGGAGCTCATCGGCGTCAGGCGACAGCTCCGCAGGTCATGCCGAAGGCGGAGGCGGCCCTGAGGGAACTGCTCCGGGGGAAGCCCACGTGCGAGACGGACTCGGCCCCGAGGGACATCCACTACCAGCCCGGCAAGGTCTCGCACCCCGAGCGCGCGCGCAGCTGCCGCTTCCTCGAGGACATCGCGAGCCCCGAGTGCCGCTCTTATCTGGAAGAGGAACACAGGCGAAAGAGGTTAGGGCCAGAGACTGTCGACTTGGACAGCATGGCGCGGTGGCGCATGATGGACGCGGCGCTGAGGAGGAATCCAAAGGCCCATCGCACTCTCGTGCTTTGCTGGGCGCGGACTGATGGGGGCGACGGTCAGGCCCGCTGAGTCGGCGGGCTTGTTCTTCGCGGCGAAGTCGAGCGGCGCCCCTAGAATGAGAATCGCTGAGAGAAGAAGCACCAGCCACTCCAGGTCTCCTCCTGGAACGCAGCTCCTCAGAAGCGAGGGCTTCGGCCGGTTTGTAATCGAATTGCCGCCCGGGGCATCGCCCTCGTCGGCCGAGGGCCGGCTTTC